TACATTACTAGTATGGAAGTCATTGAACGTGTACTTTATATGGGTGCCTATGAGGTTATACGTCGAACGGGGATCATCGGGAAGAATGCACTGTATATGCTTAATAGTGCTTGTCAACAATTGCATCCTACTAATTATTTCTTCATAGAGAACTTCTACAATAATGTATTAGTGATTAGTGATCTAGAGTGGATCGCTGCCACCTTGGAAGAAAAGTATCTTTTGCGGGACTTGAAGAAAACTGAAGAAAAGCATGCACTCTTCACCAATGACCCCCTCTCTAGTGACGAATCTTATTATGCCTAGATCCTAGATAAAAATTCTTGAGAGGACTTTGATTCCCATCATTGTCCAAATGAACTTTCTTCATCGATAAATATGAGCTAAAGTTGAAACCTTTGAAGGGTGAATGGTAGGCTTCAAAAGAAAATTATGAAGTGTTCATCCACAACGATAGCCATGGTAAGATCTTAAATTTGTACAACTCTCTAACGCTCTCATTGCAGATAAATAAAGAGACATGGGCACTACGCTCGGTGCATCGATATTCATCAAGGAGCGAGTACTTATTTATCTACATGATGTCCATACACCATAAGCGAGTATGACACCGGCCAAAGCTACGAGGTCGTCAAAAACTCGATCGACGGTAAGCCATACACTCAGGTTTGTTATCCCTTGGAATCCGGGTGGATGACCTTAAGGAGCATCAAACCCTAGCTATATGGCTATAACGAAAGCACTGCTAGTGAGCGAACCAGGAAGTCGGTAGGTGCCTTTCTTAGCTTTGTGTCTTTGAGTCTAGTTACATTCGTTTTGCATTGGCACTTTTTTTGCATAGTTGCTATTAGAGTTGGTTTGAGACTAATATTCGTAGGTAAAATTTTAAACGTATTGGTACCCTGAAATTTTATGGCATACCTCATCTTATTCTTATTACAAATTTTCCATGTCTCTCTTTGTGTTCACACCCACAAAGAGTGTGCTACGATGGTCGTGACTTTTCTAGAAATCCCCCAACGAAACAAGCAAACGATCTTGCTGATCTTTAGAATTTGCATGTTGAACTTGTAGAAATTCTTTATTGATGTCTAATGAGTAATGACTCATTGACCAATGTAAGTTATAATATAGATGTTGCTATGTTTTTGTTAATTAACATATTTTGTCCTGAAAACCTCATAAGACATTCATCCCTTCATTTTGGAGGTATTATATTCCTCTTAATAGTTATCCATGTGGCTGATATCATGTACAAGAACTGAATTCTTAGATATATGTGTTGTCTGTTTAATTTTCTAGTAAATCTATAGGCTTGGAGATGCTTATTATGTACTCCAGTTTCTTCAACTCTTGCATTTGCCCCTTTTACCCTTAGTTATTTTTTTCTTAAACGTCCTGCTACAGTATCCATTTTGCGGATCATTGTTTTACACACTTAAAGAGAACTGGCAGACTGCTTCTTGGAATCAATATTTAAGATGGGTTAATTAAGATGGCAGCAATTCTTCTGGATATTGACTAGAGAGACCAGTCATGTGCCAGACGAGTAGATCCCAATATTTTGTGTTATGTATACTGGCATATTGTTCTTTTGCTAATTATTCTTATATTTTGTTCTTGCACGCCCATTAGCAGAAGCTTAAGCATTGTTAGTTTCATGTATGATCTATAAGGGAATAGAATATCATGACGTGTGTGTATAGTTCTCGAAGGTTAAGTCCCCGTCCCCGAGAGGCTCACCAAAAGTAATTCCTTCAAAGCATAGGTAAGAAGTTTTTTTAATGGCAACGACGCTACTTGCCTCTTATCATAACCAAATCATTTCAGATCATTTTTCCAGGTAGCATTGAAAACACGTTGTGGTAGATTTAGAACATGACATCTTAAACTATTATTGAAAAGAAAAGCTTTCATCTTAATATTTGTTCATTATGTGTTCTACACAAATACTG